CCCCAGAAGTTTGGAAGGTTCATTAATCAATTTAATTGTGTCCCAAAAAAAATTTTCCCCTAGGATCCATCGGGAAAGGAAAAAGGGCCAAAACCTTTGTAGGTCTTTGGGGTCCCTTTTCAAAAACGGGGAAAAAAAAACCCAAGTAATATTTTATCCCCCCAAGAAAGATAAAGCCAGAGCAATTACACCCCTTTCCCCGGGTCCGTAAAGAGGGGTTTTTTGAATAGGAAGTGGCCCCTGGGGATGACATTTGGGGAAATTTACCACATCAAAAATTTGGTAGTGAACCTGGGGACATTTTTGCCAAAAATGGGTTTTCCTAATTTTTTTTAAAGGGTTTTTAAACGATGCGAGAAATGCCCGGGGCCCATGGCGGTCATAGCTTTTTAAGAAAGTCTTCTGCTTTGGGGTTTGGAACAACAAAGGGAATAGTCTACCTCATCTGAATTTAATTTGAATACGGTTGTACAAGTCCTTTTTATATTAAAAATTTATAAAAAATTTTTTTCCTTTTGGGATAATTTGATTTTGTTTAGCGGAAGGGGGCAATTCTAGAAAATGGCAATTAGTTGTAAAAAAAAGGAGCCCTTCGATATACTAAAGGCTTAAAGTCGGGGAAAATCAAAAGGATGGACGTGGGAGAAGCTGGGCTTTGGTCTGCCCCCTATCGGGGAGGGGTGAATCTTTTTTCATAAAAAGTGAACCGGTGACCCTAACCTGTTTCGAGAGTGCATCACTGGTTTTTAATCCCACTAAAATCTCACGAAAATTTGTCTCATTGAACTTTCGAGGGTTCTTGACTCTACAGAAGAGGATTTGAAACACTTTTTCCCATCTTTGGTGATAAAGGTCAACCTCAGAAGGAAAAAGGGGCCCCTTTTCCCTTTACCTATTAGTAGGAGCAAGAATGTGGGAGTAGTACGGCTTCAGCCAACTGTAAACCATTTAGCCTAATGTAACAACGGATGGGGGAAAAGTTCTGTAGGCCCCAAATAGTTGAAAGTATAGCGGGGAATGAGTTTCTTTAAAAAAATTTGGGAAATTATCAGAAATGACTATACATGTGCATCCAGTGCCGAAAAAAGGGGAACATTAAGTCCATTAACTGTTTCCCGAAAAAGAAGGGGGCTTGGTCATTACAGTCTTTAAAACATCTTCCAACTTGGGGGGGGGGGGGGGGGGGGGGGGGGACCTTCTAGAAAGGACAACTGGACGTTTATTCCCTTAACACCACATCAAATGACGAAACGGAATAAAAGAATCATTTTACTTTCCACAGAGCTTTTGATTTCTTAAGGTCTGATGAACCCTTGGGCCCTTAGGTTCGATCCTTTTAGGTCTTATAGGAATTGTGAGCCTCACATAAAGGTCAGTCAGCCTCGCAACTTCCTCAGCCTTAATCAGGTACGTTCTCTGATGAAAGTTCGTATCTGATGGGGAAGGGAGCTGCCCAGGAACTGGTCAGCAATCATTGAAGTCACTAAGAGATTTATAACTGTGTATCACTTTCCTGAACTCTCTATCCAAAAGTCGAACAAAACGAAAGAGTGTTTACCTGTAACTTGCTGAAAGTTCTGGACCGAGGCTTGTAAGGTGGCATACCTGAAATCTTGTAAGAATTAGTGGTTTTCTGATATGCTTTAAGGATTGCCTTCTTCAGTAGTTATAATTACATATGATATCCTGCGACAAGCTGCATAGATATTCAAGCTGTACAGAAAATAACATTCCTCACCTGGTAGCCCAGGTGTCAGCATGCCCATTCACCAGAGTGGTCAGCGGTATTTTCAATTCCTTATAATGTTTGAAGTTAGTCTTCCCCCTCTGTGAAGGGAGGTAAATTAGGTGTTGGAATATTGCACTGGACTGCACGTTGTTCCATTACTCCCTTCCACTAATGTTGTGTGAAAGTTAACTTTTTATTCCTCTAATTCAAGGCGAGGTTTTTTCGAGCTCGCGATCCTTTTCTCTCTCTAATACGTTTATTTCCTCAACTTCCTCTATCCTTTGCTCTTTTCCTCAGAGTTCTCTTAATTTAACCTTCGTTCCTCACGAAATCTTAGCTCTGTTCCTCACGTTCCCTAGCTATTTCCTCACGATCAAGTCTTCACCTTTTTTTGGTCTTCTTGCTCTCTTTCTTAACTGTCTTTCTCGGATTTCTCCTCAGCAATTCTCTCTCTCTCCTTTTTTTCTTCCCTGTCTTTCAATGGTTCTCTTTCCTCCTTTTTCCTCTTCTCTTCGATTCTCTCTCTCTCTCCTTATTCTCTTCTCTTTCCCTTTCTAGCTCTCTTTCTTCTCTCCACAATTCTCTCTCTTTCAAGTCTTTCCTGATCTTAGCACTAATGAAAAGATTCCTAAATTTTTCCCTGTTATTCCTAACTTACTTCCAGCGTTCATTCAAAACTGGTATTCCTCCATCTTGCAAGAATAACTTAAACTATCAGGGGAAAATGAACGGGTATTAAATAAAAGGAGGTTTCAAATTCCTTTCTTCCGCTCAAACTGTAAATAAATCAGTGGGCTCGATCCCTGCTTCAATTAAACAATATGTATTAATTAAAACGAAGGTTCAATGCCGGCTCCGAGCAAAACAGTAGTAGAATGGGTCATTTTGACCATCCAAACTTCTCACCAACAAATTAAAGTGTCCTATAGCAGTCCCATTGATATAAATAAAGAGCTCAATTAAACAAATTGTCACTGGAAAATCTCGGTCCCTAGAGTCTAATCCTCCAAAGTGTTCAAGCTCACAAGAAAGTGGCAGAATTAAACTAGTATTCCTGCCTTGTCTTTGACTTACAAATAAACTGAGACCTATAACAATCATCCAAATCTTTAAGATACCTGTACTGTAGTCCTACCATAGAGAATGAATTACTCATGGGCTGGTGGTAATCGTCTGTGGTATGTGCGTTGAAGGTTCCAATGTAGATTCGAGATGGAGTTGAATCTTGATTCAGTTCAAGTCGAATCCTGGCATAGTTCGCCACTTGTGAAGGCTTACTCCAGGACCTGTAACAACTTCAGTCAGTATTACTCAAGCTGGCTCCTCCTCAGAAATTAATGAATAAAAAAGAAAAATAACAGACAAACATAAACACTTTATTATATAGAAAATGAAAATATAAAACACTTATATATGAAATAATAATCCTACATTAAGAAAAATGAAAAATTGAAAAATAAATAAAAGAAAACTGAATTCAACGCTAATAATATATAGGTTGTCAGGTGCTGGTGACACTGAGTGTTGTTGGAAACATGTAGCAGTTTTTGCTGATGATGGGAGGGGGGTCGCAGGTGTTGGTTACAACCCACCGTTCGTTCTTCACCATATAAAGCCTTGATTATTCTATTCCCGATGACAGAAAGGAGGTTATTTACCACTGGCCCCAAAAATGATGAAGAGTTCGCCCAGCAATTTTCATACAGGTGCACAGGTGAATTAAATCCAAAAAGGGGAAGTCTCAGGACTTTAGTCCATCCTCCAGCAATTCTTCTAGTTGATTGGGCAGGTGACCCTCTCTGTTCATCCAAGCTGAAAAGATAGCAGGTTTACCCACTGCTTAAAAAAATCACTCTCTCCCATGATAAGTACAATACCTAAAAGATGTGAGTGATTAAACAACAGTCAACTTAGAGCAAGACTGAAAGGACTAAGGTTTATTATTGGTCAAAAGTGGAAAGCTTTAACCCATAAATTCCACTAGAAATACAAAGGCTGGCATGTACTTACAGTAGTGTTGGAGCTGTGAGTCTAGTGAATTTACTGTTTGACCAGAGCCCCACACGTCACCTTTCGGGGGGGGGGGGAGAAGGAGGGGAAGGGATAGCGGGAGCTAGACTGACCTACCTTAACAGCAAGCATCGGAGTCAAACAATCACTTTCGGGTGGTTGAAAAAAGGCGGGAAGATAGCGGGAGCTTGCTTACCCTACCTTAACAAGTACCTGCAATGAAACTATTTGGTTTACTATATCGCTACCCTATCACTGAACGTTTCACTCACACTTCTGTGGACTGAATAACGTTTGTCCTTCAAGTGTTCACCAGGACCAGCACTAGTACCCTGCACCAGCACTTTCCTTCTAGACATCACTAGGACCCTCCTGGAGCAACTTACTCCCATGACAGCACTACACCCTCAGGAGCACTGCCCGAGACAGCTCCGCCCCTACCACCCTCTTATTTTCCCAGTTGTCATACCAGCTGACCATATCTTTCAAGGAAAGGATGTTTTATTGGTGTTCTTGTCTTTTAATGTAGATGGCATTTCCCCATACAGGAGTATCCTTCGTTTGGTCAGGACACAAAAAACAGCTCTCTGAATTTAATGTCAAGTGTGGTCACT